GATGTCCCAAAAAAGGTGTTTAAAGGGCCAGCACCAGTCGCATAAAGAGTCCATAAGCCCCAATATGCCCACCGACAGTCTTAAAGGGCCATACACACCAAATAAAAGTGCATACATTTTCACAATCTCCCAGGGGCCATAGTCATGCGGGAGGAGGCTGGCAAGTAGGCTTCTCCACAACCCAGGGAAGCAGGGCAATTTGCCATTTAAAGGGCCCGTTACAAATAGCAGTTTGTAACAAGGTGTCAATCCATATCTGCCAAGTGACCCGATGTAGGGGGACCAGTCCCTATTCTGCTCTGTGTCAGTGTGTATCAGGGAACCTTAGGACAGGTGTCAATCCATATCTGCCAAGTGACCCGATGTAGGGGGAACAGTCCCTATTCTGCTCTGTGTCAGTGTGTATCAGGGATCCTTAGGACAGGTGTCAATCCATATCTGCCAAGTGACCCTATGTAGGGGGACAGTTCCTATTCTGCTCTGTGTCAGTGTGTATCAGGGGCTCTGAGGACAGGTGTCAATCCATATGTCAAGGTGTCAATATGTCATATGTCAGGTGTCAATCCATATTGATTGTGATTTAGGAATGTTAGGTGATTTCTGCCCTTTATGGATTAAAACCAGACTCTGTATCAACTGTGTAATTTTCCATGGGAGTTTTGCCATGGATCCCCCTCCGGCATGCCACAGTCCAGGTGTTAGTCCCCTTGAAACAACTTTTTCCATCCCTATTGTGGCCAGAAAGAGTCCCTGTGTGTTTTAAAATTCGCCTCCCCATTGAAGTCAATGGCGTTTCGGGCGGTTCGCCGGTTCGCGAACATTTGCGGAAGTTCGCGTTCGCCGTTCGCGAACCGAAAATTTCGGGTTCGCGACATCACTACTGCTCACATAGACCATCCAGCTGGTGCTTCTGCCCCGTACCCCAATAACTGGTGTGACAGACCCATCTGTCTGGATTACAAATACTTTGTTCGCCTGTTTTGCCGGTTACATGAATTTCCCCATTCGTATGCTTTATTCAAGGGAATGTCGTTTTTTGTTGAACGGAACTACCGAACGGACGGCCACCCAGAAGAGAAGTGTGCTGCTGGTTAACCTATTGATCCCAATTAGAACGTTGCGGTTAACCACAGACACTTCTCAATTAAAACCGAATGCCGGGTGGTCGCCGTTCGTATGTCGACCACGAGGCGGCGGCCATTTTTTCCATGCGAACGACCAGCGGTGTTCGATTATTTCATGGATCTGAAAACGGACACTTTTTCAGCCGAACACCGCTGAAGCCGTCGACCTCCCCTTCTCAATCGACAAAAGTATACGAATGCCAGCCGCTCGGGAGATTCAACCACACGAATGGACTTAACCCAGATAGCCGTCCCATGGAGTCAATCGCATACCAACGAACTGAAAGAGACTTTGACTCCATGGCGATTGAACTGTGCGAATGGGATCTGAGCGCTATTCTCCAATAATGTGCACTCAGATCCAGGCTATCTGGGGATATGCAATACGAATGTAAAATGTTCGGCCGTTATGTAGTTATGGATTTTTATGTGTTTCTGTGACTTGTGTTTAAAATGGCGATTGCCTCTGCCCGGGGAGATAATTGAGTTACTTCCCAATTATCCCCCGAGCAGAGGGGAGGGAACTGTACTGCATGCTGGGAATGTTGTGGGGATGTATGTCCAAAATGTCCCCATGTCCCTCTGTACTTTCAGTCTCCCATTTGGTCCCCTAGGGGAGTGTCCACCAAGTGGGAGACCTGCATAAATACCGGGCAGGTAGCCCACAGTAAATCAGTTCGTGTTTTACCCTCAAAGCGGAGCTTGGTCTCGTTATTGGGGGGATTTGGTTACCAAGGACTGCTTATTTGGATTATTTGCCGCTGGGGAGATATTGACGTTCGGTTACTATTTGCCGTTCGTGGATTTACAGCTCGTGAAGGGAATTAGCCGTACAGGTACCGTTCGGGAGTTTGGAGTGTTCCCTGGTTGGCGGTTCGCATGGTTTTACTATACCCGCTACCCGACCACATTATTGCGAACGGGGGATACTCGCTAAACGGCGGTTTGTACATTTCATTACTGGAGGTACCGTAACAACTGGGTTTCTGGGTCACATCCTAACAACTTGCTTCTACTACATAACTCCAACACGTGCTTCTGTTATAATCAAATGTCATAATTGAAAAAATATTGCCAGTGGTAACAGAACAAAAATACTGTAATTGTTTCCCTATGGCAGTGATGGCTAACCTTGGCTCTATAAATTGTTTCTTGACTACATTTCATGATGCTCAGCTAGTTTTTAGACTCTAAAAGCTTCATGAGAAATGTAGTCCAGAAACAATTTATGGTGTCAAGGTTAGCCATCACTGCCCTATGGGAAAGGATTAACTTGCAAATTTCAACTATAGATAGTAAACATACATCATTCAAGTTTGAAGTTCTATAGCTGGGCACGTGTAGAACGTAAGCCATTGGTGAAATAGCTAATTGTCTTCTCAGATAACTCCATAATTCCTTCAATCAAGAGAAAGGGTTTGATTGATTATGGCTTGTATCAATTGGTGCATTTAAACACTTTAGGATATTTTTTTTCTTATCTATGCTGTTCTTTATCATTGTCATATTCGAAAAGAAACTAAAAGTCTCTAATGTTTTTTTTTTTCGTACTGAAATCGATGCAAAAATCTCAGTGGAAATTTGGTGGATTTCCTTCTTATACGCATGCAGTTTATTATAACTTTCTCCTCTGATCCATGGGGGATGGGAAATCAGATCATAATAGAAAATATGTTTTTTTGCACATGGGACGCACATGCAAATAGATATGGCCATCTGAATGCATGTGGCATTACCTGGTTTTATGAAAATACTATTCAAATATATACAGGGTCCGTACAAACCATTAGGTTCTAGCCTGCTCATTAGTAGGACTGTACAAGAGATGGGAGGTCATCCATTGAGACTGGAAGAAAGGCATTTTTCGCAAACAGCAGAGGAAAAAAGTACAGTAAGGACAATAAAGACGTGGACTCCTCTTCCTAAAGAGGTTGTCTTATCAAATTCTGTATATATATATATATATATATATATATATTTTATGAAATATTTAAGACTATGATTAACATGAATGTTGGTTGTCAATATGGAGTCAAGAAAGATTTGTTTTTCCCATTTTGAGGCAAGGCTTTAAATTGTTTATGTGTTTTTCTTTCTTTAAGATCAAAAGGACAAAAAGATGTGTTTTAAAGGTTGAACTCAATAGCATTGAGTCTCTTCCAACCTAGGTTACTATGTAAGTATTGTTCAATCATAATGTTTACATTTCCTCAGAAAGTTTATTACATGCACTATTTTTCTCTAACATCAGTAGCTTTTAATAAATTGTCCAGCTCTGTTTATTGTTGGTTTCTAGGTGCCTCTGCAAGCATACCAGCAAAACAAGGTTAAGACATGATTGTTAATTTGTGCTAAGAGCTTAATTACAGAGCCCCACTGGAACCCAAAGGACGGGTCGGGCCTGGCTACAATAACTAACCTTATCCAGGACAATAAATCTTTGAATGCATTTCTAAACATACACTTATAGCCAAATTATCTGGCTTATTAATTACACAATCCCTGTTCTATATTTATCTAATATTGGGTTTCGATCTGAGAACTCCCGCTTTACAAGAGTCTAGCGATATATAAATATTATTGGAACTCAGCAACATAATATCAAATAATCTACAGCAGGACTTCCAAAGCCAGTCCTCAAGTACCTCCTACCAGGCCAGAATTTATGGATTAACCTGTTGTGTTTAAAGTGTGTTTTCTTTCTTTCTAAAACCACCTTAGACACAACTAGGTAATCCCTAAATCCTGGACTGTTAGGTGGTACTTGAGCACTGGGTTGGGAACAACTGATCTACAGTGTTGGTTATAATGAAATCAGTTTACTTAAACCGATCCAAAATACAAATTACAATACAATAATCTCCAACACTATACATACACTTATAACATATCTATACTTCATATTTACAAATATAACTCATGTATGATCATATATAACTAACTTTCTTTGAGATCTCCCGGGAGGGTGATGGTACTTCCCTTCCATCCTTCTTTCTCCTCTCCTTCTAACAGACCCAAAAGGCTCCCTATATATAATACTGACTTCCATTTGATTACATGGTAGGTATGTTTGCTATATTTCTCCTGGCCTGTGGCTACACAAGACACACATATCATTTTCCTGGGGTCTTTCTCATGTGTGCATGAATACAGTTACAAATGGTTGTCCTGGTATGACACATTCCATTGTACCTCAGGTGGTATGGACCTTCTATCTTGATTACAAAGTCTCCAGGTCAATTATTTTGTTTATAACTATCCTAATCCCGAAACCTGTTCTAATACCTGTTTCCTACATATACACACCTCACACATTCTGTTTTAATATTGATTTCCATTGATAAAACATAAAGCCAAGAGTTTATAAAATATAAAACTTAACCTTTCCGTAGTGCAACACTTAAATGAATTAAAATTATTTTATATATGTTTTAAGATTTTTGCACCAACAAATTTGCCAGAATGTTTACATTTTTTTTCCCATTATCATTATAGAATATAAAAAGCTTACTCAAAAACACTCATAATAAGCTAGCTCATCATATTTGACGATATACCAGATCATCATATTTTATGATATTATGGGCTATTAAATGGTGGTTAAAATAACTTCTTTGAAGGTAATAATTAAACATTATTTTTTTTCCTATTTATGACCCTTTACAATTCTGGTTGCTCATTTAATGATCCACAGTGGTAAAATGAAACAATCCAAGACGCTGATGAATCTGAGTGAATCCAACCAATTTAATAATATACCAATTTGACAATTTCTCCTCTGAACTATAAAAGGAGCTCCTTCATCTAGAGTATATATCCTTTTTGAAGCAGTCCTCACAAAACTATATACTATCATGTCAGGAGTTAAAGGAGGTCATGGGGGGAAGAGCCAACAAGGACAACTGGGATACCATGGAGGTGCTGGACAGGAGAGCCAACAAGGTCACCATGGAGGTGATGGCCAGCAGAGCCAATCAGGGAACCATAGAGATGCTGGCCAGCAGAGCCAACTAGGTCACCATGAAGATGCTGGTCAGTGCCAATCAGGACACCATGGAGGTGCTGGACAGCAGAGCCAGCAAGGTCACCATGGGGGTGCAGGCCAACAGACCCAACAAGGTCACCATGGAAGTGCTGGTCAGAGCCAATCAGGACACCATGGGGGTGCTGGCCAACAGAGTCACCATGGAGGACCTGGCCAACAGAGTCAACAGGGTCACCATGGATGTGCTGTCCAACAGAGCCAGCATGGTCACCATGGAGGTGCTGGCCAACTGAGCCAACAAGGTCACCATGGAGGAGCTGGCCAACAGAGTCATCAAGTTCACCATGGAGGTACTGGCCAACATAGCCAACAAGGTCATGATGGTGGTGCTGAAACGCAAAGCCAACAAAGTCACCATGGAGGTGCTGGCCAACAGAGCCATCAAGGTCACCATGGAGGTGCTGGCCAACAGAGTCATCAAGGTCACCATGGAGGTAATGGCCAAAAAGGTCATGATGGTGGTGCTGTAAAGCAAAGCCAACAGAGTCACCATGGTAGTGCTGGCCAACAGAGTCAATCAGGACACCATGGAGGTGCTGGCCAACAGAGCCAACAAGGTAACCAAGGAGGTGCTGCTCAGCAGAGCCAACAAGGTCACCAAGGAGGTGTTAGCCAACAGAGTCATCAAGGTCACCATGGAGATGCTGGCCAACAGAGCCAACAAGGTCATGATGGTGGTTCTGGAAAGCAAAGCCAACAGAGTCACTATGGAGATGCTGGCCAGCAGAGCCAATCAGGACACCATGGAGGTGCTGGCCAACAGAGCCAACAAGGTCACCATGGAGGAGATGGCCAACAAGGACAACAAGGACAGCATGAAAGTTATGGTCACCAGAGCTTAACTCTATGCAATGACCCCTGTGAAGAATTTATGGTGGTAAGTAAAGGGTTGAATATGATGATGTGGTTATTTGAGGAGCCCTGTTCATCAGTCCTCAACTTAAGTGGCTATTACATTCTCATAATAAAATAAAACTGAAATAAAGTGCATGTTTAAATTGAAATTAAATGGCTATAGGTATATAATCCATTAAATAGAAAGTATCTCATATGAGATCATGGATCAAAGTTAACTATCAGGGTTTTATTAACTAAACTAAAAGTATATACTATCACAATAAAACCAGGTCTCAAAATCTCCATTTGTCACTATTCATTGGCAAGTGGAAATTTTGCTCTTGCAAGGAGAAATCCACCCTCAGAAGGTATACTATGACGTGCCGCGGTGTGTACCTTTTAAGGCCTGGCTAGTAACATAGGACTATAAACATTAATCCCTGATAAAACAATATATTATATTTTTTTTAAATTCCCTTAGTAACATCTCTGGGTTTCAGGCAGACAGCTGGTTTCCTGTCTCACTCGTTCTGAACTAAAGTTGGTTTTAATGCTTCATTATGACAAGCATAGTGTGTGAATTGCATTTGCTGTGTGTTTCAATACTGCTTTACAAGAAACATATGATTGGACCCAAGTCATCAGTAATGATGACTTAATAGGAGGCAGGTCAGATCTCCAGAAGATTCTCCTATGCTGGAATAAAGGTAAGTTAAATTACTGAAATGGGATTTTCAGTAATTATAGATATTTATTTTTAGTTTATTTTATAAATTTGAGTGTTTCTTTAATAACACTGTACTTCCTTTTTACCCAGTATTTATGCGATTGTAAATATATTGCATTATAAATATATTAAAAGACCAGCCTCATGCTCTCCCATAGGGGATGTCCTAATGCAAGCACGGCTATTGTTACACTTGCGCATTAGGTCTCCCCTGCCAGCTGAACCAGCGCCAATGGAATCAGGTAAGTGACAGAAGGGTTTTTTAACACATTCTACACCATGGTAGGAGGGAATGAGGGAGCGAGGGAGGGGGGCACTATAGGGAGCTATAATGCCAGGAAAACAACTCTGTTTTCCTGTCACCACAGTTTCCATTTAATGGAGCGTTTGCAATTCTCCTTTTTAAATCTGGCATTTACAAGGATGAGACAAAGACAAGGATGAGCTATTTTGGTTTCTTAACACACTAAAGGGGGTTTATAAAGGCAGCACATGTGCTAATCTAGGGCACAGATGTAAACGTTGACAAATATTCTCTTTATTTCCACGGTGATTGCTTCTTATTTATCAGTTGAACTCATTAACAAAATCTTCTCATGAATGTTGTAAAAAAATAATCAGATATAACTAAATGTATAATGGACTTTACATAACATTATACAATCAAACAAGAATGAAATGGAAGGGGCTTGTATGTTCTTACTTTCACTACTCCAAGAAGTCCCACAGGTGCTCGTTTTAAATGGCATAGATGGTATAAAAAGAGACTGGCATTTCAGGCAGTCGAAATTGGGTTGGGATAGAATTGGTCACTCAGCAGTACACATGGAATACATTCACACTAGTCTTATATCTGCAGTAAAATGCTGATTTATTATTGTAAGAGGTAAGTTCCATTCTTAAATAACAACTTATTCATTTATATTTAATTTTACCACTCGTTTTAATAGCAGCATACCAAGATCAGATACTTAAGAGTGTGTGTTTGTGTGTGTTAGTGTGTCTCTTATTTCCATACTTCCAATATGTTTATATATCTTTCTCGTCTTCTTTTTATAGGTTTAACAGAAACGGTAAAAGGACAAGGATGTAAGAAGTAACGTCAAAAGTATCACTGGTGTACTCTACAAATAATCACTTCATTCTGCATTTGTGGACTCATGAAAATCAAATAAACTTCTATGGCATATTAATATTCTTTTTTTTCCTTATATTTCATAATTTAATCAATTTAGGAAAATAATTATTGTCTATTTGTGAGTGTTATTTGTGAGTCAAGGGCACATGGTATTCAGATTTTGCAAAACGCGTTAGAAAACCAAATTGTAGGGTTGTGTTAGGATGAGTGGGACTGACATGTGTATCTATGGGGATTCTGGGCTTAATGGTGGTGGTTGCCTACATGTACTTCTAAGATTTTGCAAATCTAAGGTGAAATAAAATATTTCATAATATATTTAGATGAAAATGTTTTCTGATACATTTCAGTTCTTTAGCAGTTGTATAAAATATCACTATTTTATTTTGTCTTGGAGTTTTATTAACTCACAGTATTGTCAACATCACATTCCTTTAGAATTAATTAGCCCTGACATTACTCACACTATTACTGACATTAAACAATAAAGTCTCAATCTCAGTTCCTTTAAATAATGTTTTTGGTATTAGACTGACTACTTACGGAATATCACAGAGTTGGAGAGCAGGAGAACCACTAGATGAAGGTTCTCCTGCTTTCATCTGTCACTCAGTCATTATCCTTTATGCCACTAGCAGAGAGATGTCTATGCCGAGATATGATTGACAAGTATGTGATGGACCATATTTTTAAATAGTTAGATTTGTCTATACGTTTGCCAGTTTTTGTGCTAGTACAATATAAGATGAAATCTTCTACTCTGTAATTTAAACCACTATTGTGTGTAACACGGCAGGTACATTTTATTATCTGTTAGTAATTTATAGAGTAATTCATTTAAAGCACCATACTTTCCTTAGGGACACAAAAGCCCATTAATGTGTGCGCAGAACAGAATCAACAGTTGATTAAAAAAAGTGTGTAATCATTTTATATTTTAATAGGATAGATTACTAAAATTGATAATACAAAACTCAGTTTTTACTATCACACCGATAAAATGGGTCACTATCAGAACAGGGAACATAGCTCGACATACTTCTCTGTGTGCAACCTGGATCCTCAAATGTAGTCCTCTAGTGCCATCTAGTGGACAAAGCTTGACTAGTAAAATAGAATTAAAGTGAAATAGAGCAAAAAATATAACCAAACAAAATGCTCCCAAGGGAAAGTAATGTCATATTTAAACACGACACAATGTGAGCATTCTGTATTGTGATATAATTTGAGAATGCAGTACACAATTCTCACCAACAGGGTGGCGATAAGGAGAGCAGTGCTTCAGGAGAGTTGAGGGAACAGAGTGTAGGGAAATGTGTGAAGCTACAGCGGAGGAGCCCTATGGAAGCAGAGGAAGTGAATGATCAAGCTTTCCATTCACAGGACCTTTGTGTAGGACATTCTATGGATGCATCGTCTGATCATAGTGAGAAGGACATACAGAGCCCTTCAAGGACACGGCAGGGCTACAGGAGAACTGGGCAAAGCTAAACTAAGAATGCATATGGATTAATAGAGTGAAAACAGGGCGGTTTTACCAGGCATCCAAAATTCCTGACACACTTAGTTTAGTTCTCCCAGGGTGGTCACAAGCACCACAATTAAATAAGGGGTGAAGGAGGAATAAAGAAATTTAAAGTGACAAATGATGCATACATTTAATACAGTCACAGTTATATTATCTTTAGAATTGTTTTAGACTTGCCCCTAGAAATAAAATACTGGTTTGGCTCTATGGACGAGCCTCCACTGCTAATAATCACCTGAAACCTACCACATGTGACAATGAGTCTGTATCTCCAAGGAGACCCAGTGAGGACTTCTCATTCAAACTGAATGCCAGCAAGGCGTGGCTGGACCCAAAAGTGTTAAGCAGTGCCTAACTTGGTGCAATTTTAAGTTTCTGAAAACATTTAGATTATATTGCTAAAAATGTCAGGATCCCGATCTAAAAAACTTGAATCCGGGGTGTATTCTAAGATCTAAGACGCATCCAAATCAAAGTAATTTAGATTTCTAAAAAAAAATCTGATTTCAAAATGGTCTGAATTTGTACAACTTTGTTCCATTTTAGGATCTAGCTCTTACAGTAGTCCAGCTTCTATACACTGCTACAATGACCATTAATGGCTAATTGCATAGCTGGGAAGGCAGTATTAAATCTCCACTTCGTACTTCTCATACCTTCCAACACTTGAACCCATGAATCAGAATCCTGGTTTTGAAGATGGGAAAAGGGATCACAATCAAGTCACTAGCATAGGCCAAAGGAACTGACCTGCCCAGGAAGGGGGCAGGTCAGTCCAATTATGGTCAGGTCAGCTTCATGTGAATTAACACTTGGTTGCCTGTCAGTCATCTAAGGACGTGCAGTGAGCACTGTTTCAGAGCTCTCTGAAGGGTCTAGTGTTTAGCAT